TATCGAGATGCTACTTGAACATCAACTCTTACCCACTGAAGTATTAGCATCATCTAGAAAAACTAGAAATATTTTGATTTGATATTCGAGTAGAAACTTCGTATTTCGAGTATGAGCATCTACTGAGTTTTATTTATATCAACCATTGTCAAAAAATTGATCGAACGTTGTTTCGACAGAACTTCCTTCGCACCAAAAGTATAATGAAACATATTCAGCATTTTCGAGTTGAGTCTTTTCTTCGCACATTTACGATCAACACGTATACCACCTTGGATTGGTGCAGTGTAATACTAAAAATAACTGTATTGTATTCCCAAAATTATCTGCGAAAATCGATTGAGCCGTTCCATCAATTTTTTGTGGAGAATAAATAAATATTCTTAACAATTTACCATGCTTACAATAACTTTAAAAGGTCTGCAAAATCTCAAAGTATTCAGTTCTGCAACTCTTGAGTTATTCTCTAAAATAAATCGACTGAACCATACATTTTTTGAGTCACTGTAAAAGCAAATCTAAAAAATTGGTCCAAAGTGTTTAGACAGTACTTCCCTCGCTGTCGGAAACGTGACGACTGCATGCCTATTATATTTTTTTTTCGCAGTAGATTTCAAAGCATTCGGTTTTGTAGTTCCTGAGTAAACCTGTAATAGTTATTTACATTCGCGTGTGGTAACTTACATTTTACAGCGCGAAATAAATTTGAAGCACGACGGCGAAGCCGGAGTGCTTTAATGATTGAGCGCTGTAAAATGGTTAACGCACAAGATTTGTATTAAACTTTTTGGCCGACAACTTTTGAAAATTATTTATATTTTTTATTAAATTTCACATAAAGTCAGAAATAAAACAAACATAACTGTCATTGAATATGTCAATTACAGTGATCTGTAATTGCTGCACAAAAATACACAAGATGGCGTAGCTCCGTTTGAACTAAAAAATATTCGAAATTATATGATACATTGCTGTTCAACAATAAATATCTTATGTATTTGCCGTTTTAATCATTGTATTTTCGATGTGTAAAGAGATTTTTATTTATAAAGGTCTAGGAAGAGTGGACAATTTGGGCAATTTTTACGCATTTTTTTGGCCTCCTGACATGTAAACGTCAAATTAACATTCAAATGACATCTTCGGAAACATCAAATTTACAGTCATCCTGGATGTTTACCACCCGGCGTGCGTAAAAATTGCCCAAATTGTCCGCTCTTCCTAGACGTTTATAAATAAAAATCTCTTTACACAACGAAAATATAATGATTAAAACGCCAAATACATAAGTTATTTATTGTTGAACAGCAATGTATCATATAATTTCGAACATTTTTTAGTTCCATGGCCGACTCCATTAATCTCTAAAGAGATATGGCCGTTCCATTCGGTATTTTTTGGCAAGTGCGGAAAGTATGCCATGAAGTGACCCTAAACTGTCGGACTCTGGTGGTCCTTACGCATATTAATTTTTAATTACAGATTTCTTTATTTACTGACATTGATGTTTTATCCTAATTTGAGCGGAGGACTAAAACTTATCCAAATTCTCGTTTTGTAGGGGTTGTGAAACAAATATCGGACATTGCACTGAACATGTTTCCACTTTTAAAATTTGAAAGAGCTTGTGAACGGTTGCTGAACATAATATTTCCTCACCTAGAGAAGAACCCTCTATTTAAATGTGAAAAACATAAACGTTTAGTTTGTAAATTTGTTGTAACAACAACTGTAAAACCTGTTTTGGACAACATATGTCTTGAAACCACAGATTGACTAGTCAATGGTCAAGACAAAATTGTTGCAGCACAAACCAGTCAGCAGAAAGGTTCTAAAGTTGTAATTTTCTTTTTATTATTATTTAGTGCATAGGTATTCAGGTATATCTACTTACATTAATATGATTAGAATTTTCCATTGTTATTTTTATTTATTCCTTTTGATTTAATAAAATGAGTTCTGTTATAAACATTCCTGATCTGAATTTGACTTTATTAAATTACAAATTGTCAAAATTTAATATGGCAACTCAATCGGGGTTGTATTTTTTTTAACATTTCCATTGTCAGATGGCACCACTTTAGAGAACTTTTCAACTGTTTGGAAAGCCAATTTATAAACGCCTATTGGAACGGCCATATCTCTTTAGAGATTAATGGAGTCGGCCATGTTAGTTCAAACGGAGCTACGCCATCTTGTGTATTTTTGTGCACCAGTTACAGATCACTGTAATTGACATATTCATTGACAGTTATGTTTGTTTTATTTCTGACTTTATGTGAAATTTAATAAAAAGTATAAATAATTTTTAAAAATTGTCGGCCAAAAAGTTTAATACAAATCTTGTGCGTTAACCATTTTACAGCGCTCAATCATTAAAGCACTCCGGCTTCGCCGTCGTGCTTCAAATTTATTTCGCGCTGTAAAATGTAAGTTACCACACGCGAATGTAAATAACTATTTTCTACTCCCACATAGTAATCCATGAATTACGAACTGTCTAGCCTCATAGTAAAACCATAGTTACACCCACTGGCATGTAATGAATGAACAGGCACGTAATATATATATATTACGTGCCTGTTTGGGTAGTTTCCATAGCAACTATAAATATTTGCTTTCCTAAAAAAATTTCTTCTGAAAGTGATTCTTCATTATAGATCGTAGAAAAAGTATATGACACAACTCTGGTGGTAAGCTAATTACGAACTCATATTACATCACTCGCTCGCTACGCTCGCTCGTGTATAAACTTCGTTCGTAATTAGCTTCTTACCACCCTCGATATGTAATATACTATTACGCATTCATTTTTTTTTTGAGTCACCCAGTATATGCAAATTAAAAAATATGAATGGAATGATAAATTACAAGTACAGACTCATCATATTTTGTATATTCTAGATAGGATTTATTCGGCAAACTTTTGAGCTGACGTCATTAGTTTTTTGGAGAAGATAACCAAATATATATTGACTAAAAATTTATTATGCTCTTTATAACCTTAAAACATCTGCAAGATTTCAAAACATTCGGTTCTGTAGTTCCTGATTAAATCAATAAAATACATTTACGCATTCATTAATTTTTCTGGGTCACTCTGTATATGCAAATCCAAAAAACATGAATGCAATGATAAATCACAAGAAGAGACTCATCATATTTTGTACATTTTAGATAGGGTTTATTCAGCAAAATTTTGTGGTGACTTCATAAATTTTTTAGGGGGGACGACCAAATACATTTTGATCAAAAATTTACCATGCTTATGATAATTTTAAAACATCTTCAAGATTTCAAAGCATTCGGTTTTGTAGTTCCTGAGTAAATCAATAAAATAAATTTACGCATTCATTAATTTTTTTGAGTCACCTTGTATATGTAAATCCAAAAAAATATGGATGGAATGATACATCACAAGTACAGACTCATCATTTTTTGTACATTTTAGATATGATTTATTCGGCAAACTTTTGAGCTGACGTCATCAAGTTTTTGGAGGGGATAACCAAATATATTTTGACTAAAGATTTATGATGCTCTTTATAGCCTTAAAACATCTGCAACATTTCAAAACATTCGGTTTAGCAGATTCAAAATTAAATTGCAAAATGTTGTTTTACAATTTTGATTTGTTTTCCAAAAATCTGGACGTTTCGAGTAAAGACTCAATTCGGAGTCGTAAACTACATGTGTAGGACTATGTCATTTTATACAATTTAAAACCCATTTACTATGTACAATTTTGAGGTGACGTCATCGCATTAGTGGTGGGGATGATTAGACAAATTTTGGTTAGCGTTTTACCATCTACATGATATTCTTAATATAAGTACAAAATTTCACAACAATCGGTCCAGTACTTTTGGAGATTATCTGTCTAATAAAAATCCGGGACGGCAGACAAACGGACAGACGGACAGACAGACGGAAATGGGAGACCTATTTCTTCGTCTTCTAGGGGTCATGAAAGATCGAGAAAACGTAAAAGTAGAGAGTCGGCCGACGGACTCGATTACAATACTTCCTTTGCTTACGCTCGGGAAGTAAAAATATGAATTCAATGATAAATTACGAAAATATACTGATGATATTTTGCACATTTTAGATAGGATTTATTCGGCAAAATCTTGAGATGACGTCATCAAGCTTTTGGGCTTGATAAACATATATATTTTGATTAAAAACGTACCATGTCAAATAGTAACTTCAAAACGTCTGAAATATTTCAAAATTCAGTTTTTCAATTCTTGATTCAATCAATAAAATAAATTGACTCAGTGATTAATTTTTTTGAGACACTCCCTATGAGCAAAACTAAAAAATATGAATGGAATGATAAATCACAAGTATAGTCTCATCCTATTTTGGACATTTTAGATAGGATTCATTTGGCAAAATTTTGGGCTGACGTCATCAATTTTTTGGAGGGGATAAGTAAATTAAATATATTTTGAATAAAAATTTATTATGCTTATCATATGTTTAAAACATCTGCAAGATTTCAAAGCATTCGGTTTTGCAGATTCAAAATTAAATTGTAGGTGAAACGAAGTTCACGGGGTTAGCTAGTATATAATAAAACACGTTTTAGTTTTACTTTTTCATAGAGGATAAAAAATAATTCATGTAAAACAGATTTATATGTGCCACAGCTGCGGAGGATTGTAAATAACTTTTGATCTCTTAAATGAAATATACTTAATAATTAACATAACGTATGTCTTTTTTACTGTTTTACTGTTTTAGTAAAAAAGATGCATACGTTATTTTGTCACTCCTAAAAACCAGGATTCAAACGGCATCAATGAAACCGAAATGGTATTGTAAAATCGGAAATGCTGATATCAATATTTTATTCCGATAAACCACTGACATGGCGGACTACATCTGACAGTCGTTACTTTCTGTATGGCTAGAACGATTTGATGTTTTTCCATTGGTTTAGAAGATTACCAACATCTGTCAAAAATTTGCGCCTGGTGGCACCATCTGGAGCTACCTGTGTAAGCTACTAAAGAAAACTTTGTTATCATTTTGTCAATGGTGGTCAATGTTATCTCAGTTAACTGTCACCTGTCATGATCATGAGCAACGAAGTCAACAAACACCCAACGAAACTAAAAACTAATAAGACTAATAGTAATAAGTAATAATATCAAATTATAGAAAACATAATTTTATTTCAGCAATTTAATTTTTTTATCTACAATTTTTATTTAATAATGAACGACAAAAACCAATGAACAACCAAAAACTGTAAGTTTAGTTTAATTTTAATATTTTTCTACTCAACGTTTTTTTTGCATTGATTTTCTTTTCACAAGGTCCGTTTTAGTTGAACAAAAATTATTTAAGACCACTGTGGCAGCAGTTATTATAAATTGGGAAACGTGCGTCCTATGGGTAGAACAATGAAAAATTGGATTTTGTACTAAATGTGCTGTGATAATTTCTCTTAACTGACTGCAAGGATTTTCCATTTCAATGTGTGGTATTAGAAGATGTATAACTTCAGCCAGTTGTTTTAAAACAGCTACAAATTCGAGATTGGGATATGTCAGCCCCCCACGATCTTGTAAATTTATTAAACGCAACAAGGGTCCAGGGATGATTTTAGTTAATAATGAAGACACGCAGTAATCACACTTAAATTTATCATTCATTTTTTTTTTATGATATAGCCCGCCAAAAATGCCACTGATGCTGAGTAGACAGTATTATCTGTTAACACCTGAACGTTGTGTAAATTGCGAAGTTGTTGTAAAGTCGTAAAAGGTAGTACAAGATCAGAGCAATATTTATGATGTTCTTGGGTAGAAGAAGAAGTAAAAGGAAGGATATGATGTTTACTAACGAAATCAACATTTGATGCGACATTTGCAGATTTTGAAGTTTTGATAATACCACATTTATGCATTTGTTTTAATGCATACTCAGCTTGCTCGAGCATCTGTGGCATCATTTGATCCACCTCTCGATCTAACATGAGAAAACATGGCTTCGATACAATCAGAACTGAAAGTTCGTGTCAGTACATAGTAAAATCCTACTTCTTCAAGTAAGAATTTTACTGTAAGATACGTACTGCGGGCGATAAATTTTAAAGAATGCGCCGTTTCCTTAGATAAACCAGGCAAACCAGCTCGTTGGGACTGCATCTGAATATCATCCATGTATGGATGGAATTTATGCATGAGCCAGTGTAAACGCTCATCTGATACATTGACATATGGTGCCACATAACTATCCAAAGACCGTATGTATTGGTTTTTGCTGCTAACATTATGTATTTGGAAAAAGTGATGCATAAATCCTAAATATTTTGTAGTTCCAGATACATTTTGGAATAGTTCATGGCCATTTTCATTTAAGAATTTTAAAGCAGCAGTTACAGATGGGTAAAATATTTGGATGGCTCTACGGACATTCATTTTTTCTAAATTATTTGGAAATAGATGCTTTTTTGTCAGGAACTTCATTGGTTTGACTGGTAAATCTTTTTGTAAATCATACAAATCTGTTAAAAATGATGCAGAGATCACGCCATCAGAAGACATCATATCATTTTGCAGGAATAAATTCCTCGCATTTTTTATGGCGTGACAGTAGTCAAAGCTAAGAAATAAAGGCAAAGGAGACAAATAGGGATGACTGATGACATTTTGAATGCTGCCATTTCCAAGAAGCTTAAATAAATTTACGTTCAAGGCTAAATTGTCAGTTACAATGCGTATTATTAAAAATCCACAGTCGGTAACCAGTTTTAAAATGTTTAAGGTTAAACAATAAAATTCTTCAGCGGTAAAAGAAGAGTGGAAAAAATATCCCGCTGGTATCGTGAATCTGGTCGTTAACCCATGCACAACATAACACATCATTTGATGAGCAATTTCCACCTGTCCTCCAATTGTGTTACTGCTGGATGTACTTAAACCATAAAGTCGATCATCTGAACGACTGTAGATCAGTTTTTGTCTTATAGCCATGTCATCAATGACAAGGGAGCACACTCTTCAATGGGATTTTTGAAATTGGAGACTTCTGTTGTTAATCTCTGCTTAATTAGTTCATTAGAACTGTTAATGTTTCCTAAATATCTCGCAATAGTTGTTTTAGATGGTATTTTCAATAAATTTCGTCTACAAAATTCATACCCTTTTGTAGAGCAAAATCTCCATACAGTACACAATCTGACCGAAGTTTCATTCCATCTTGGCACTTTTCGATTGTAATTAGTTAAAATATTTAACAAAAATATTGCTGTTTCGTCACCATTGGCAGCGTTTTTATTAATTTTTTCCAAAATTTTGTATTTTCCCCAATGTTTTTATTTTTCTGCTTCCAAAATTTCATTTTTTTTTGAGTGATTTTTGATATTTTTGAGTTAATGTACGTAATTTCGATGTTAAAATTTTAACGTGGTATTGTAAATTTAGAAGTTCAGTACCTGTGACATTAGTCTGAGTACCAGATTCTTGAGAAGGGGTGTCAACAAGAATATCAGTAGGAATATCAATAGGAGCGTTCTGGAAAAGGTAGGAAAGTTTTATACTGGAATTATTTAAAATTGAAGTATACTCACAAATTCAGAAGGTACTGCTTCATTAGTTAATCTTGTTACTTTTTCAAAATTTTCAAAACAATCCGTTCGAAAGTGTTGGGCGCATATTAGTGTACGCTCTTTTATTTTTGATACATCTAATAGAAAAATTATTAGTTATTTACTACATGAATGTTATAAATGTTCTATATTTATATACCGCAATAATTTTGAACTGCTTCAAACCATTGTTTTCTTAGTTTTGCTTCTGACGGAAATTCGAAGCAAGAAATATTAGTTTTCTTGCAAATAAAACACTTTCTCGTCATTTTAAAACTAATAAAAATATTTATGCGATACTCAAAAATAGTATTTGAAGTTTCAAAAATGTCAATGCTCGAATTCTATATTTCTATAACAGATGGCGCTGCATGGCGCAAAAAAATCTGCCACATGTCGGTAATCCTGTAATTCAAATTTTTATCAAATCGTTCCGGCCATACAGGAGGTAACGACCGTCAGATGTAGTCGGCCATGCCAGTGAGTAAAAACAGTTCCCCCTAGTGGACAAGGTCCACACTAAATTAAGTGTGCAACCAAACCAGAATCTAAGTAAACCTGTATTCTGCTACGGCATCATACTCGTTTAATGGCGATTTCTCGTTTCAACAGATTCTGTCTTTTCGAGAGGTATTTACCTCAATCGTGAATTTTTTAGGATTATAAATGGTATCAAAAGAAAGCTGACACTTTTCCCCAGGGGACCTCCTATCTCAGAATGCAAATCACTTCAGCACTTCGTCAAAAAATGCATCAATGTATCGGATAAAGTCTGGTGTAAAACTTGGTCAACTTTATAAATTTTTTTTTGTAAAAACTGCGGACTAGATATGAATATAAATATGAAGGTCCCCTGGACTGGAGTGTGTTAATTCGAAATATAATTTTTTTAAAGCGATATATCCCGTATTTTTAAAATGCAACTCCGGAAACCACGACGATTTTTTCAATGTAGTTATTTAGTATAGGACGAAACCGAACCAGACGCGAACCTTAAAGAAGTTAGGGATAATTTTAACAAATATGATCATGCGTGGTTAGGATAGATAGGAAAACACCACAGACCATTAAACAAATAGGAAGACAGTTCATTGCCATTTAATCGTATAGTCTAGGAAGCGACACTAGCGCTGCGCGAGCGGCTGGAGCAAACACTCATTCGCTTATACTCGTGTAAATTTCGTAATAGATCGTGTTTACTGTCAACAAATATCTCCTTTAACGTCATTCAAATTCAAACGCCAAATTATAATTTTTTCAAAAGGTTTTCAGTAGTAAGTTTGGTGGCTATTATATCTGCTATTTTTAAGTCATATTAATATAGTTTTACTTGCTTCAGATACAACGGAAATGAAAATTATTAATAAATATCGATGCAAAGTTCCAAATTGTCCGTCAGTATACGCAACAGGAATCAACAAGAACAAAAATAAACATTTTTTTATTTTTCCTAAATCTCCAGTTCAAAAACAAAAGTGGATAGATACCATTAATGCCTCCTGCACAGAAAAAATTGTTGTTAATTGTAAAAAAGCTTACATTTGTGAAGATCATTTCAGTAAAAATTACTTTACGAGCACCGCAGAAACGAACCTTCATAAATACGCAATTCCCACTATTTTTAAGGACAGTAGTCAAGCTGTGATTAATACTAATGGTGATGGGTATTCCAGTAAAAGTGAACAAAAAAATTATAAAATTTTTATTTTTTTAGTCGGAACTATTCCGGAATCTGAGTATGATGGTAGCGTAAATTCACAAAGACGCAAACGCCATTGTGATACTCTCACGACATTTATCACATACTCCGAAAAAAAGAAAATATTCACCCAGTGTTTTGAAAAAGGTAGGATGCAAAAGAGTGGACGACTTAACTCCTAGAGAGCAAACTTTATTTAGAATAACAAAACGCCAGAAACAGGCAATAAACAGATTAAATTTAAAATTATGTAAATCAAAAAAAAACTTGGATCTTCTAAAACGTGCTCCCCAAAATCATCTAATTAACATTTTACAAGAAAATTGCAATTCTGTAAGTGCAAGCTTCATAAAATCCCAATTTGATAACATGAAAAAAAAAAATTCCTAGATGGTCAACTGAAAATAAAATATTTGCCTTGGCTATGTACAAAAGAGGTCCAAAATGTTATCGCTTTTTAAAACATTTTTTCAGACTTCCGTCAAAAACAACTTTCTACAAATTTTTGAAAAATATACCTTTTGAATGTGGCGTGAATGACGAACTATTTGATAAGTTAAAAATGAGAATTGAGAAACTGAAACCAAGAGATCGATTATGCAAGCTTATGTTTGATGAAGTGTCTTTATCTACAAATTTAACCTATTCGAGATCTACTGACAAAATTATTGGTTTTGAGGATTTGGGATCTTTAGGACGAAATAAAAATTATGCTAACCATGCGTTAGTATTTATGATACAAGGTATTAGTTCCGGATGGAAACAACCAATAGCGTACTATTTTGTTAAGGACTCTATTAAAAGTATAAAATTAAAACTAATAATTAAAGAAATTATTAGCAAACTTAATATGGCCGGCGCAAAAGTCATATGCACCGTTTGTGATCAGGCCAGTTCGAATGTAAAGGCTCTACGTTTGTTAAAAGAAGAATCAAATGTAGAGTATAAGGAACCATACTTTAAGGTAAATTCAAAAAAAATTGTATGTTTATATGATAGTCCCCATTTATTGAAATCATTAAGAAATGCTCTCCTTAAATATACGATTTATTATGATGAAACCAAGAAAGCTAAATTTATGTATTTGAGACAAGCTTATCAATTTGATAGTACTCGAAGATTTCAAACTTTGCATAAAATCCGAGAACCCTTTCTTTACGTGAACAGATATAGATTATTAAAGATGAAAGTGTCAATTGCAGCAAAAACACTTAGTGCCAGTATGGCAGCTGCACTTGAAACTCTAATAGATTCAAAAGAAAATATTCCTTCAGAAGCAATCGAAACGGCTTTCTTTGTAAAAGACGCAAATGATTTATTCGACAGTTTCAACTCCACTGGTATTAATATGCGTAACAACCACTGCAATCCAAAGCTAAGATGTGCTTTAACAAAGAAATCTGGTGATTTTGATTTTTGGAATAAAATGGAAAAAAAAATCGAAAGTTGGAAATTTTATGACGAAGTACGTGGTCAATTCAAAACAACTATGCCCTTTAAAGAAGATTGGTTAAATAACATTCGTGGAATTAGACTTCTTTGGCAGATGTGTGAAAAAAATGAATTCAAATTTTTGCGAACAAGAATGTTGAATCAGGATCCTCTAGAAAATTTATTTTCAGTGATACGACAATACGGTTCAGGAAATAGTAATCCATCGTGTTTTCAATTTATATCGGCGTTAAAAACAAGTATTTTGAATAATTTGATAGCATATCAAGCATATGGTAAGAATTGTGAAGAAGATGTAGGAAAACTTCTCGATAATCTTAGAATATTTTTATCCTCGTCATCAAAACCAACAAATTTTCAGTTTACAGAAAATATCAATGAGTTGGTAAATTTAGAAAATTCTAGCTCAACTAATAGAGCTGCATTTAAAGATTTATATGATCTTCAGGCTATTACATATGTTTGTGGCTTTTTAATAAAAAAATTAAAAGCTATCACATGTAAAGACTGTAAAAATTGTATAATTGCACAAAAAACCGAAGAACATCATATTTTCACTCTTTACAAAGAACAGGATCAAAAATTAAGGTTGAAATATGCTACAAAAGAATTTGTAACATGCTTAGCTGAGATTTACGATACCATAGTCTTCTTTTTAGATAATTTTGGAGAAGTTCCAAATATTGCAAGAAATTTAAAAGAACATATAACAGCAACAATTAACTTTACTTGGATTAACTGTGACATTCATATTGCTGATTTAAGAACGGAAATTATTAATTTGGCAGTGCGTCTAATAATAAATAAAAAATTGACCAATCTGCAAAAACAATTTGAAGTACATAATCGTAGAAGAATTAATAATTCAAATAGGTTTTAAAATTAACACCTACCCGTAGTTTCAAGAGTTTTTTTTAAGCAGTTTGTAATTAAATTATTTTTTTTAGGTATTTCGAAATGAAATTGTTTTTCTTTGAGAGTTGTTTTGTAATTTTGTCATTGTTATCAAATATATGTTTTTCATTACTGAATTTAGTTTCATTTTTATAGAATTAAAATTGTAATTAAAAATAAAATTATTACTATAGTAATTATAATCTAGTAATCAGTGGATTTAATTCATGCAGGAGCTCGAGCAGCGCTGTAATCGCCACATTAAATCGTAGTGGTTTTTGAACGTCTTTCTATTTGCTTAATGGTCTGTGGAAAACACTAAATTACAGTAACCTGTATTCAAATATAAACACCCGGGTGAACACCACGAAAACACTAAAATTTTAATAAACGTTCTTCTGTTCTATTCTATTCTGCTTTCGGACACATCATGCACAAGCAGCGGACGTTCAATTCCAGCACGGAATTTTTTTGTTCTTGTACTATGCTGCTATTATCTAGGTATACTTTTTGGAGACAAAAACCGAATATGTTTACTTAATTAATTGGTCCTCTCTTGTGCTGAAGAGACAAAATCAATTTCAGTTTCTTTTAATAGGTACACATGCATGCATTTAATGCCACCGTTACGTACTTCAATGCCGACGCTGATACGATATGACGTGCTAAATGTCGAATTCTTTCGAAGTATAAACATAAACAAAACAGTTAGGGTTAAACAAGTGCTAGGAATTAAGAATACATTGTTTCCCACTGATTATGGTATCTGCTTTAAATATAATATCTGGTTGACCGTGCTTCACTCGGTTCGTTTGGTGGTATTAGACCAGATTAGGACAGATAAATATGCGTATAGTATGCATTTTGAAATACCTGCACTAATTAAAAATACACATTAAAAAAGAAATTCCATAAACAGTCTTTGTTTTAAACACTGATGAGTAACATGTAGAGATTAAAGAATAGAAAACTGGAATTATTGTTTGACATTTTTTATTACAATGTCATTTATTACCCATCATTCTCTCTGTGTCGTTCTCTTTTTTTCTTCCGAGTTCTCTCTCTCTCGTCTCTACACAATCACAACCACATTCTTACTACCAGAAGAGTTTCACCTCTGGTGTGGTTAACATACTGAGTTACCGTGCTCTTTTGGGTTATTCCTAATTTCTCAACCCTTCTCTCGAAGATGCCACTTACGAAAGTGTACAAAACGTTGAGCCCAAAAACTCAAATGATGCGGTCTCAACACGGAAAACGATCACATATTGACTCCGACCGTGGGAGCCTATGAAATTAATGCTTGACAAGATAACCTGAATTGAACGCACTTTCGTGTGCCTTTTATCCGCTCACTGTTTAGTTTTCCGTTAATTTTCTCACTTCAGAAGGTAAATTTTAATGTCCTCGTGGAGCATATTTCGGAACGTACAGTTGAAGATAAAAAAGTACGTCAAACGTAGGTACTGTCAGACTCTCACCCACGTGTAGTGTCATCTGATGTTGCCTAGCAACAAATATAATTCACTGCCTGAAAATTGCTGAAAATGTATGAAGCTGTAATTTTCAGAAGTTAAAACTACGATCAATCGATTTCTTGACCCAAAAAACCCCCAACCTGTAAATTTCATCGAAATCGTTAGAGCCGTTTTCGAGCAACCCATTATATATATATACAAACTTTGCTTGTTTAATCGTATAAGATTTCATATTGTCCGCATTTGTGCAGATCGTGCCCCCTTGGAATTTGCACCCGCGCGGCGCGGGGATTGAGGAGGTATTATTTACCCTACTGGAGCGAGAGAAGTTCTGTCGAACTAACTTTCGACCAATTCTTACTTCCCGAGCGTAAGCTAAGGAAATATTGTAATCGAGTCCGTCGACCGACTCTCTATTTTTACATTTTCTCGATTATTCATGACCCCTAGAAGACGAAGAAATAGGTCTCCCGTTTCCGTCTGTCTGCCGTCCCGGATTTTTATTAGACAGATAATCTCCGAAAGTACTGGGCCGACTGTTGTCAAATTTTGTATTTATATTAGGTATATCATGTAGATGGTAAAACGCTAACCAAAATTTGTCTAATCATCCCCACCACTAATGTGATGACGTCACTTTAAAATTGTACGTAGTAAATGGGTTTAAAATTGTATAAAATAACATACTCCTACACATGTGGTTTACTACTCTGACTTGAGTTTTTACCCGAAACGTTCAGATTTTTGGAAAAAAAATCAAAATTATAAAACAACATTTTGCAATTTAATTTTGAATCTGCTAACCCGAATGTTTTGAAATGTTGCAGATGTTTTAAGGTTATAAAGAGCATCATAAATCTTTAGTCAAAATATATTTGGTTATCCCCTCCAAAAACTTGATGACGTCAGCTCAAAGATATGCCGAATAAATCCTATCTTAAATGTACAAAATATGATGAGTCTGTACTTGTGATTTATCACTCCATTCATATTTTTTGGATTTGCATCTACAGGTTGACTCCAAACAATTAATGAATGCATAAATTTATTTTATTGATTCACTCAGGAACTACAAAACCGAATGCTTTGAAATCTTGAAGATGTTTTAAAGTTATCATCAGCATGGTAAGTTTTTGATCAAAATGTATTTGCTCATCTCCCCTAAAAAATTTATGACGTCACCACAAAATTTTGCTGAATAAATCCTATCTAAAATGTACAAAATATGATGAGTCTCTTCTTGTGATTTATCATTCCGTTCATATTTTTTCGATTTGCATGTCTAGGGTGGCACAAAAAAATTAATGAATGCGTATATTTATTTTATTGATTTAATCAGGAACTACAGAACAGAATGTTTTGAAATCTTGCAGATGTTTTAAGGATTTTTAAAGAGCGTAATAAATTTTTAGTCAAAATATATTTGGCTATCTTCTCCAAAAAACTGATGACGTCAGCTCAAAAGTTTGCCGAATATATCCTATCTAGAATGTACAAAATATGATGAGTCTGTACTTGTAATTTATCATTCCATTCATATTATTTGAATTTGCATGTACCGGGTGACTAAAAAAAAAAATGAATGGGTGAATTTATTTAATTCATTTAATCAGGAACTACAAAACCGAATGCTTTGAAAACTTGGAGATGTTCTACAATTATCATAGGTATGGTAAATTTTTAGTCAAAACATATTTCCTCATCCCTCCTTAAAAAATTAATGACGTCATCACAAAATTTTACTGAATAAATCTTATCTAAAATGTACAAAATATCATGAGTCTTTTCTTGTGATTTATCATTCCATTCATATTTTTTGGATTTTCATATACAGGGTGACCCAAAAAAATTAATGAATGCGTAAATATATTTTATTGATTTAATCAGGAACTACAGAACCGAATGTTTTGAAATCTACTGTAAAAAAAAACATAATATACATGCAGTCGTCACGTTTCCGACAGCGAGGGAAGTACTGTCTAAACTCTTTAGATCAATTTTTTTATTGATTTAATCAGGAACTACAAAACCGAATGCTTTAAAATCGTGGAAATGTTTTAAATTTATCATAAGCATGGTAAATTTTTGATCAAAATATATTTACTCATCTCCCCTAAAAAATGGACGACGCCACCTCAAAATTTTGCTGCATAAATCCTATCTAAAATGTACAAAATATGATGAGTCTCTTCTTGTGATTTATCATTCCATTCATATTTTTTGGATTTGCATATACAGAGTGACCCAAAAAATTAATGAATGGGTAAATTTATTTTATTGATTTAATCAGAAACTGCAGGACCGAATGCTTTGAAATGTAATGCAAAAAAAAACATAATAGGCATGCAGTCGTCACGTTTCCGACAGCGAGGGAAGTACTGTCGTACTGTAAATTCTTTAGACCAATTTTTTAATTTAGAAATTCCGATGCGACCTTACGTTATTGCAATTTTCTTGAATTTGCTTGGCAAAACGTGGTTCCATAAGAAATTCCAATAATCTTATTTTTAAGATCTACGATGCAATATTTTATGGAATAATAAAGAGACCTACGTGCTTTATTGAGTCATCCATTAAATACACTTTTAATATGCAGAGTGTTTATAAAACATTTCTAAATTGTCAAAAAGGAAAAAAAAACAAGACTATCAACCTTAAATATAAAAAATTGGTCTAAAGAGTTTAGACAGTACTTCCCTCGCTGTCGGAAACGTGACGACTGCATGCCTATTATGTTTTTTTTTTCGCAGTCGATTTCAAAGCATTCGGTTTTGTAGTTCCTGAGTAAATCAACAAAATAAATTTACGCATTCATTTTTTTTTGAGTCACCCGGTATATGCAAATTCAAAAAATATGAATGGGATGATAAATTACAAGTACAAATTCATCATATTTTGTACATTCTAGATAGGATTTATTCGGCAAAATTTTGAGCTGACGTCATCAGTTTTTTGGAGAAGATAACCAAATATATTTTGACTAAAAGTTTATTATGCTCTTTATAACCTTAAAACATCTGCTAGATTTCAAAACATTCGGTTCTGTAGTTCCTGATAAAATCAATAAAATTCATTTACGCATTAATTTTTTTTTTGGGGTCATCCTGTATATGCAAATCAAAAAAATATAAACGGAATGATAAATCACAAGAAGAGACTCATCATCTTTTGTACATTTTAGATAGCATTTAATCAGCAAAATTTTGTGGTGACGTCATTAATTTTTTAGGGTGGATGAGCAAATACATTTTGATCAAAAACTTACCATGCTTATAACTTTAAAACATCTTCACGATTTCAAAGCTTTCGGTTTTGTAGTTCCCGAGTAAATCAATAAAATAAATTTGCTCATTCATTAATTTCTTTGAGTCACCCTGTATATGCAAATCCAAAAAATATGAACCGAGTGATAGATCACAAGAACAGACTCATCATATTTTGTACAGTTTAGATGGGATTTATTCGGCAAACTTTTGAGCTGACGTCATCAATTTTTTGGAGGGGATAAGCAAATATATTTTGACTAAACATTTATTA